TTTTGTGAACAAGCAAGCGCTCAAGAGATTTCATCACCACCAGGCCTGCTTTACAAGAGCTTCTGAAAGAACCACTACAAATAGAAAGGAACAACCAGTATCAGCCTTTCTAAAAAATACCAAAAAATAAAGAACATCAACATAATTAAGAACCTGCATCAACTAATGGGCAAAACAGCCAGCTAACATTAAATGGCAGTATCAAACTCACATACATTGTTATTAATTCTAAATTTAAATCGACTAAATCTCCCAATCCAAAGACACAGACAGGCAAAAAAAAGCCAAGACCCATTGGTATGCTACATCCAGATCCATCTCACATGCAAGGATACACAAAGACTCAAAACAAAGGGATGGAGAAAAATTTACCAACCAAATGGAGAGCAAAAATAAATAAATAGAAAGCAGGAGTTGCAATTTTTGCTGATAAAATAGACTTTAAAGCAACAAAGATCAAAAGAAACAAAGAAGGATATTACATAATAAAAGGATCAATGTAACAAGAAGAGCTAAAGATCCTAAATATATACGCACCCAATACAGGAATACCCAGATATATAAGACTTATAAAGAGACTTGGAAAGTTAACATCAATATCCAGGACTTGAACTCAGATCCGGAACAAGTAGACTTAATTAACATTTATAGAACTCTCCACTTTAAATACACAAAATATACACTCTTATCAGTACCACATCACACCTATTTATAGATTTAAATGAAATATTGGTTGGCTGCTTGTTAATTATTTTCTTCCCTCATTTTTTTTTAATGTCTCTATTATTAAACACAATTACAGGCATACCCATTTTTAGACTGCATTCTAGCCCGGGCAATAAAGCAACACCCCTGTTCTCTTTCCCTCTTCCTCTTCCTCTTTCTTCCTCTCCTTCATTCTTTTTTCTTTCTTTCTTTTTTTATTCTTTCTTTTTCTTTCTTTCTCTCTTTCTTCCTCTTGAAAAAAAAAAAAAAGAAAGAAAAAGAAAACTCATCTGATTCAGAGCTCCTCAACTGTCTTGCCCAAAAGCCATTCAGTTATTAAGTGGAGGGCACTAGGGAGTCTCTATCAAGCTTTTCAGATACTGTCCCAAAATCTTGTCACCTTATCACCATGCTCCTGAAGGTCAGACCCCTGGAAAACTGCCTTCAGAATGAAAGAGTTAGAACCTGGAAGGAATGGACCCTTCTGTACTTAAAAGTAATGTCCAAGGCACAAAAGCAGGCACATGAAATGTTTCTGTTTTGTGGAAAAGCTTAAATACACACATACACATGCGGCACAACAGGCATAAACAGACCTCTATTTAACTCTTAGGAAAATAATTTCAGATAGTTAGGGCCTTAATCATGTTTTTATATATTGGGCAGAGAAGTGTCAGAAGAGGAAGTTACCAAACTTTAATAAAGTTGTTTCAATAAAGCTAATTTAAAGTGAATCATCATACTTCAGTGCATTATTTTGGCACCTAACATCTTCAAATATGAATGGTCCTCTAGAGAGAGAACATCTTCCATAGCTCAGGACCAAGTTTCATCTACTTCTAGCTCATTGATCTATAACCAATAGAATACAGCAAAGATGAAGGAATACCACTCCCATGATTACATGACATTATGTAAGACTTTTATCTTAGCAGACTGAATGACAATCTCCTACTGGCGTTAAAGAAACAAAGTGCCTTGCTGTAAAATGCCTATGGAAGAGGCCACAGCGCAAAGAATTGCAGACAGCATCTTGGACCTAATGTGAAAAAAAGTTGACAGGTAAGACAGAAAAATGGGTTCCCAGACCAGCTCTGCCTGTATGTCTTTCATCAAGTCTTTTTTTGAATTTTTTTCATCTTCCTCGCTGATATCAGCTTCTGATCACATAGAGAACAAGGATTTACTTCTATGTTTGTTTTAGGAAGACTAAATCAATGATGGACCAAAGTTGATATGGTCAGTGGCTGAATTTGAACTATGATGGGACTCCTATGCAATCAAGCATGGCAGAGAAGGTTTAGTAAAATCTCTTTCCTCTTCCTCCACCAGGTGAAAAGGCAAGGAATGATGAGGACAGTCAACTAGGTTTACAGTACAGTAATGAAAATCTCAATGGAATAGGAAGCTAAGTTAAAGAATTACAATGCCTTTAAATAGTATTCATTTCTAGCTTTACTTGAAACTTGCCTGTGAAACTCCACAAAGTTAAAATATACAATTTGGCCAAACTATGTGAGTAATTAAAAATTCCTTATGACATGCAATGAAAATCAGAATTTCTCTTCTTCAATATTTGTTTAACTCTAAATATTACTTTCCATTAGAAACTATCCAATTGATCATTACCTGTGAACCGACTATATGGCACAAAGTCATTCCCTACTGTCATCATTCCAACTGTCAGAAAAGTCCCTTCTCCAGGCATTGTGCTAAAAACTTTCTACATATTATCTCATTTCACTCTACACCAACTCGAAGGGGAAGATAATGTTAATATCCATACTTAAACCAGGGCTTAAAGATACTCAGTCACCTGTCCAAAGTCACATCTCTAGTGACAGGGTCAGGATTTACACTCAAGTTAGCTGACTCCAAAGCTCTGCTGTGGCCTTGCTATTGGCCCTGAAGACACTGTTCATCCCAGCCAGGGAGCATGTAAGGCCTCACTTTTCAGGGAATCATTTCTGGTCTTTGTTGGAGATTTATTAAAAACATCATTTTTCTCCACATCCAAACTGACAAGTCATGGCCTTCTCAACAAAAGATTACTCAGACCTTCATTGGGTTCTCAATCCAGATAGCACCTTCATGGGTTTAGACCAAAACCAGGTCATCCAGCAGCAGTGATGGATAAAGAAAGGCAAAGTTCAAATTAGCTTTTTATGTTAATATATTAATAGATTAATCTTCTCTTGGTAGTGGAGTTGAACTAATCTCATCATTACTACTAAAATAGATGATGGGATGTTATGTATATCATTCATCAATGAGAAGCTTTTTTAAAAATAGATATAAGGGTAACTGAAGCCAAGGGATCAGTGATCCTGACATCCTGAGAGGAAGTATCAGCCCAAAAGGCAAATCTACTTCAGATTTCGGAGCCACTACTGGTACAAAATTTTTCTACCTCACATCTGAGTCCTTCAGTTGGTCCTCCCAAATGTACTAATCTTTCAGTGTGTCTTCACAGATCAGAGGAAAAACGAGGCATGGGTGGATGAAAAGATAGAAACTCCTATTGCTGAGCCACTTACTATATGCCAGATACTGAGATCAGTATTCCTGATCTCATTTAATCCAAACACCTCCATGAGATTATTATGCACATTTCACAGATGAGAAAACTGAGGCTTGGAGATGTTGAGTAATTTCTGTAAAAACATTCAGTTGGAAAATGAGAATTCAAATCCACATCTGGCTAAGTCCATCCTCTTTCACAATGCAGTCTGTCTTCATTAGTAACCACATCTATGTTGGAAGTGTCCCTCAGTATACTTACATAATCCACCTTGAAGAGGAAAGTTTGGTTCTTAGCCCAAAACAACGGGACTGAAACAATCAAAACGTTTTAGAATCAAATGAGACTCTAGAGACTAAGTCCATCCTCCTTATCTGACAGATCAGGAACCTAATGCAGAAGAAGGTTAGGTGATTTGCCTGGGGGGACGCAGCTCAAAAATGGTTGAGCCAAGACTAATACAGAAACCTACAAAGTCCTTCATCTTTCCTCATAGCAGGTTGCACTGCCTTTGTTTCCTCTGCATTTTATGTAAAACCATGTTCATCTCCTGCTCTACTATTGTTAAGAGTAGGCACTAGCTGTTAAATAAAACAAGTGACAAAAACATACGTTTTTTTCTCCAAGATTATGAAAACCACAAAACATCGGTATGTCATGTATTCAAAAGAGCTAGACACCAACTCTTTCTAATAAATAAAGACGTATTTATTTTATACATAAAATACATACAACATATACATGAAATAAATATGTATTTTCCTAGGATCAATATCATAATAGAATTCAAAAAATTCAAAAAGTCGGCTCCACTTCTGCAGAAAATTTACAACTGAGGGAAAACGCACAGCTGACTCTCCTAAGTCTCTCAGAGTCCTGGAGGGTAGGCAGAAGCTGCAGGTGACAGTCTAGCACAACTCATTCTCGTTTACCAAACATCGGTAGAGTGTCTACTATGTGGCCCGCATTTAAAAAGGGGAGGGGGGCAGAAAGAAGTGGTCCATATCCTCGAGGGCGCTTACCGATTATCAGGAAGGAAAGCGTCCCGCAATTGTAAACCTAAGAAGCTCCAAGTCCCAGCCCTCTGCCTTCCCTCTGGTCCCTATCCGGCGCTCTGGTACAGCGGCAGCGATCTCTGGCTACGCCGCTCCACCGAGATCTTCCTCTAGGTGGGCGGGGAGACCCAGCCCAGGGAGCTGGAGGCGTGCCCCAAGGGCAATAGGGACAGCTCCAGGGCCGCCCCAAACTCACTCAGGCGTCCCTACTGTCTCAACACCTCCCTCCCAAGTCGTCCGCCTCGAAGCCCCGACACGCTGCAGTTACCTCAGGGGCCTCGCGTGATCTACGCCGCACACCCAAGACCCCAGGGGCCGCTCCAAGTCTCAGGGGTAGAAGGCCCAGGCACCCCGCAGGGGTAAGAGCAAAAACTGTTGGAACACGACGGACTCCAGGACCCGAGAGGAGGGGGACAAAGAGCAAAGGGGGACAGGAGGGGACAGGCCCCCCGGGAGGTGAAGTTTACAACTGCCACTTCCGGAGCTGAAAACACTCGGGGCTCTCGCACACCTTCCCAGACTTTCAGAGGTCAGCCCAACTCAGGCTCCCCCCGCCCTTTTCCTCCCGCCGCCCGCAGCTCCGGGATACATACGCCGAGAACGCTGGCTCGGATTGGAGGAGACCGCCCGCCAAGCAGCGCGCCTTCGGTGAGGGGAGAACGGGCGCATGCGCCCGTTGCTGAGGAGCGGCGGGCTCGCGACCGCGCGTGCTCCCGCCCCAGCAGCTCCCAGTACCCGCGCGAGGATGTCCTGTGCGCACGGGCGGCTGTGGCTTTTTAGCGCGAGGTGCCCGCTTTCCTGTCTCAGTCGCCAGAGCCGAGGGGAAATGCAGATTTCCAGCTTCTAACCCGTTTTCCCTGCCTGCTGAATAAAAACCTAAGAGGTCGGATCCCAGATCCTGCATTTTGAAACTGGTTCTGTCCATCTTTAGAGCCACAGCCACGGTGGGCTGTGCCGGGGCCTGGGGAGAAATTCTCTGGGCTCGGGTTCTGCCCAACTGCCTGGTTTACCTCTGTCTGGACAGCTGTCTGCCTGAACAGGGCTTCGTGTCCCCTCCTCCCGTCCCCATTGTATCCCAGCTTAGGGGGGCGAGCAGGTCGGAAGAATGCATTGATGCTGTTGCTGCGTCTTTCATTATCAACGTTACATAACCAGGCACATCGCAGAAAACGCCTCGGAGCCGTAGCGTGTGTGTTGCACATCTCTTTCCTCGCTTCTGATCTCTGTCACACACACGCACACACACTCCGTCCTGTTATTGATAATGTATACTTCGATTTCTCCCGTTGGCTGCTTCACAATCTGCTGCCGCCTCAGGGAGATTGGAAAACCAAAGCCTCTTTTGTTCCTTAACTTTTGAAAGCCTGTCCCCAGAGAACAATGCAAATTGGCGGGATTTGATTGAATATTTTTATCTTCGCCACCACTACCTCCTCTGCACAAAAAGGTCTTTAATGCAAAACGAGCCTTGTTTTCTAAACTCGTTCCATGTTGATTGTCATCACCCTGAAACCAGGTGTAGAGACCGTCGTTCCTCCTCTCTCCCTTGGGAGAGCCAATGGTCATAAATGCAAACACGAGGTTAAAACCTCCTTGATTGTTGTAGCACTGAAACCTTAATTGGTTTAATTTTAGTCATTTAGATCTAAAACGGAGGCCAGTCCCTGATTGTTTTTACTAGAAACATAAAGAGGATGATTGCTCCAAAGGAAATAAAGGGAAAAAACAGCCCAGTCTAACGTTTAGAAATGAAATGGAAAATTACAACAGACTAATGAGATTAGAACTTTTATGTTACAAGCTTTAAATAATATTTTTAAATTTTCTTTTTTTTTCTTTCTTTTTTTTTTTTTTTTTNTTTATGAAACAGGGTGGTGCTCTGTTGCCCAGGCTGGAGTATAGTGGCACAATCAGGCCTCACTGCAGCCTCAACCTCCAGGGCTCAAGCCATCTTCCTGCCTCAGCCTCCTGAGTAGCTGGAGCTACTTAAAATTTTATTTGTGTTTGAACAAAATCACAAAAGTGAATATTGTATGGAAAGAATAAATGCTGTATAGTATATTGTATGTTTTTGAAATGAAAAATGGATGTGATGTGAAGACTTGCACTTTATTTGTTCATTCAGCATTTATATAATACAGACTATGTACCCAACATGGAGCTACGTGATAGAAATTACAGGGGAATGATGATATCAATCCTGAACACCCAGAAAGGATTCATAGAAAAAGAACTTTGAGTTTAGTCGGAGAAGATAAAGATTCATGAAGCTATCAAGAAACTAGATGGAAGACATGGAAGCTGCAAACGCCAGCACAAGAACCAGCATGAGACATTTGAAAAGCTGGAAAAAGCTGTGTGTACAAAGAAGGAGGTGTGAGCAATGAGGCTAGAGAAATATGCAGAGCCCAGATCACAGAGGAATTTCTACATCATACTTAGGAGTTTATCCAGCAATGAAGCTAATGAAGGGTCTTAAGCTGAAAAAATATAATAATTACACAATAAATCAGACCATTCGAAAATGCGCAGAGATTTTCTGTTTTTCTAGTAGATACAAGGTCAATTCTCTGTTGTCTTTTGTTTGCTTAACATGCTGCTACTACTACTTGAGAAAAGCTATATAAAGAGATGTTCTCCTACCCTCTTTTCTTTTGGGCTCAACATCACTTCATTTCTCCCTCGTCTTTCTACCAATCCTTTTGAGATATGATTAGATTCATTCATCCCCACCACTCTACCAACAGCTTGCAAAGTCAGTAATTACCTCATTACCAAATCTCAGACTCCTTGACTTTGCTGACACAGGTTGCTCTTCAGATGTCTCTTCAACATAGGTAAGACTCTATACTCCACAGCTCTCCAACTGTCTGAACTTTCTGCTGCTGCTCAGGAAACCATTCTTCCCTTCCTGCCCCTCACTCAAAGTGATATTTTCTCAGTTTCTGCCCTCATCCTTCCCATCATTTGTACCAGATAAGCAGCCTCAGTGATGTCATCCATTCCTGCAAGTATGAACTGCATGTCCCCAATATTCAACTCTTTATATCCATCTCTGACCTCTCCTGAGCTCTAGTTTTGAATTTTTAACTCCTGTTTGAACAGTGACACTCTAATTTCTGGCAATACTTAATGTAATATAACTAAATTTTAATTATCTTTTTAACTTCTCATGGGAGTCTCTAAACTACTTTTCTACCTGTTTATAAAACTTCTGATCTCCTAGACACCCAGGTAAGAAAAACTCTACAAATTGTTTTTGCATCTTTCTCTCTCAAGCTCTCACTTCCTGCAAGCAGGATTCCTACTTTTTCTCTAAACCTCCTGTCCCCTTTCTGTGCCTAGTTACTACTAAGTAGCTTCATTTGTCAGGTTCCTTATTGCTTCCTATCGAGACACTTGTAATCAGGACCTTCCTTGTGGTCCAATGCAAGTCACTCACCTTCTCCTTCTGTGCAAATTCTCAACATTTTTAGAAGTTGACCATTGACATCTAGGGCATTTTTAAACTGGCATATATAAGAGGAGAGGATCAAAATCTAGAAAATAATCAAAAGCAGGCCTAGGAACACATGTATCTTTATGACACTAGGGGAGTGTAATAAACTGTACATATGTGAGACTCAGTTTTAAAGCACCACATGAGCCACATTCTTTTGACCCTTCCGTAACCTCCCCGAGAAGGCTTAAACACCAGGTTCTTGATTATTATGCTTCCTTGGTATCAATTCGTAGAACGGAAAGACCTTGCCATAATTGTTACTCTCAGTGGCTCTAGTCCTATGCTCCTTCTATATACTAAAATGGAAATAATCCTTCTAAAGCATAACTCTGATTATGTTACCATACTGATTAATTCTTTTGGTGGCTTCTCAATTGCTGCCTGGATAAAACCCAAATTTTCTACTGTCCATCAAGGGCCCTAACCCGCCTTTCTAGCCTTGCTTTCTCTGATCTCGCAATAAATCTTCCTTCTCATTCTTACATTGGCAATAGAAAACACAAAATGTTTGGGAATAAATATAATAAGTGGTAGGCATGAGCTTGTATTAAAAGTATTAAGATACATAGGTTAATATACAAGATTTAAATCCAGATAACATTATTTTGTGTTTGTTTTTAAAATTTATATATGTATTTTATTTTCAGAGACAGGGTTTCATTATGTTGCCCAGGCTGATCTCAAGTGATCTGCCCACCTCAGCCTCCCAAAGTGCTGGGATTATAGGCATGAACCACCACTCTCGGACAAATAACGTTATTAAACATATAATAACGTGCCAAACACTATACTAAGCGGTTTCCCATTTGCTGTGGTTTGAATGTGTACCCCAAAAAGCATGTATTGGAAACTTAGTTGTGAATGTCACAATGCTGGGAGGTAGAGCCTAATGAGAGGTGATTAGGACAGGCGGGCTTTGCCCTCATTAATAGATTAATGCTGCTATCTCAGGAGTGGGTTTGGTTACAAAGGAGCAAGTTTCTTATAAAAGGGGTGAGTCCTCCCCCGTCTCTCTCTCATTCTCTCTCTCTCCATCCCCACAACACACACACACACACACACACACCCTGTCTTTGCCCATCTGCCATGGGATGATGCAGCAAGAAGACATTCATCAGATGTGGACCCTCCATCTTGGACTTCCCATCCTCTAGACGTGTACAGTACATTTCTGTTCATTATAAATCATCCAGTTTCGGGAATTCTGTTATAGCAACACAGCATAGACTAAGACAACATTAATTAATTTTTTTCAAAAAATGCAAATATCTTTATCATTTGCTCTAATAATACATGGTCAGATAAAAAAAAATTGGGGCAGCCAGGCACGATGGCTCATGCCTGCAATCCTAGCTGTTTGGAAGGCTGAGGTGGGAGGATAGCTTGAGGCCAGAAGTTTAAGACCAGCCTGGGCAGCATAGCAAGACCCCATCTCTACAGAAAATTTAAAAATTAGCCAGGCATGGTGGTGCACACCTGCAGTCCTAGCTACTCAAGAGGCTCACAAGGAAGATCACTTGAGGCGAGGTATTTGAAGCTGTAGTGAGCTGTGATAATGCCACTGCACTCCAGTCTTGGTAGCAGAGGAAGACTATCTCTAAAACAAAACAAAATAAATAATAGAGTTATTACATAACAGTAAAAATCACCACCAATGTTCCAAAATATACAAAGAACTCTCAAAATTCAGCAATTAGAAAACAACCCAATTAAAACACGGGCCAAACTTTAATAGATACCTCACCAAAAAAGATATACAGGGCCAGGTGTGGCAACTCACACCTATAATCCCAGCACTTAGAAGTCTGAGGCAGGAAGGTTGCTTGAAGCCAGAAGTTTGAAACCAGCCTGAGCACCATACTGAGACTTCATCTGAACAAAAAATTTTAAAATTCACTGAGCATGATGGTGCATGCCTGTAGTGCCAGCTACTTGGGAGGCTGAGGTAGGAGGATTGCTTGAGCCTAGGAGATTGAAGCTGCAGTGAGCCATAATCAGGCCATTGCATTCCAGGCTGAGCAGCAGAGTGGGACCCTCTCTCAAAAAAAAAAAAAAGATATGAAAATAAGCTGCATATCACATGATCACATGTAATTAGGGAAATGTAAATTAAAATAACAATGAGATGTTACCACACCCCTATTTAAATGGCCAAAATCCAAAACTCTGACAACACCAAATGCTGACAAAGATGTGGGGAAACAGGAACTCTCATTCATTACAGATGAGAACGCAAAACGGTATAATCACTTTGGAAACAAGTTGGGCAATTTCTGACAAAACTAAACATCCGCTTACCATATGATCCAGAAATCACATTCATTAGCATTTACCCAAAAGAGTAGAAAACATATCCATACAAAAACCTGCACATAAATGTTTACAGCAGCCTTATTTATAATGGACAACTTGGCAGTAACCAAGATGCCCTTTAGTAGGTGAGTGGATAAATAAACTGTGATACATCCAGCCAACAGAATTCTATTGAGCACTAAAAAGAAAGGAGCTATCAAGCCATGAGAAGACACATGCAGAAGCCTGGGCATGGTGGCTCACGCCTGTAATCCCAGCACTTTGGGAAGCCGAGGTGGGCAGATCATCTGAGGCCAGGAGTTCAAGACCAGCCTGGCCAACATGGTGAAACCCCATGTCTCCTAAAAGTACAAAAAATTAGCTGAGCATGGTGGTGTGTGCCTATAGTCCCAGCTACTCAGGAGTCTGAGCCATGAGAATTGCTTGAACACAGAAGGTCAAGGCTGCAGTGAGCTAAGATTGCACCACTGCACTCCAACCTGAGTGACAGAGTGAGAACTTGTCTTAAAAAAAAAACAAAAGACATGAAAGACATGGAGGAAAGTCAACTAGTTAAGTGTGTATTAAGCAAGTCAGAAAAGCCTACATACTGTATAATTCCATCTATAGGCATATCTCATTTTATTGCACTTCACTTTAAAGATACTACTTTTTTTTTTTACAAAGCGGAGGTTTGTGGTAACCCTGTATCGAACATGACTATCAGTGTCATTTTTCCAACAGCCTGTGCTCACTTCTTGTCTCTGTGTCACATTTTGGTAATTTTCCTAATATTTCCATTTTTCTATTACAATTATATCTATTAATGGTAATTTTGTGATCAGTGATCTTCAATGTTACTATCGTATTTGTTTTGAGGTACCATAAATTACACTCATATAAGACAGAAATCTTAATCAATAAATGGCATATGTGTTCTGACTGCTCTACTAACCAGCCATTCCCCATCCTCTCCTCATACCTCCCTATTCCCTGAGACATAACAATATTGAACTCAGGCCAATTAGTAGCCCTACAATGACTTCTAATTCTAAGTGTTAAAGTGAAAGAAAGACTCATACCTTCCCACTTTAAATCAAAAGCTAGAAATGATTAAGCTTAGTGAGGAAGGCATGTCAAAATCCAAGACAGGCTGAAAGCTAGGACTATTGTGTCAAATGGTAGCCAAGATGTTAATGCAAAGGAAAAGTTCTTGAAGGAAATTAGAACCACCACCAGGTGTGGTGGCTCAAGCCTGTAATCCCAGCACTTTGGGAGGGTAAGGCAGGAAAATGCCAGCACTTTGGGAGGCTAAGATGGGAGGCAAGGAGTTTGAGTCTAGCCTGAGTGACAGGGTTGAGACTCCATCTCAAAAATAAATAAATAAATAACTAAAACTGCTACTCCAGTGAACACACAAATTATAAGAACATGGAACAGCCTTATTACTGATACGAAGAAAGTTATAGTGTGTAGGTAGAAGATCAAACCAGCAACATTCCCTGAATTAGGCCGAAGCTTAATTCAGAGTAAGACCCTAACTCTTAAATTCTGTGAAGGCTGAGAGAGGTGAAGAAGCTGCAGAAGAAAAGTTGGAAGCTAGCAGATGGGTTCATGAGTTTTAAAAAAGAAGTTTTCTTTGTAACATACCGGTGAAAGGTAAAGCAACAGTGCTGATGTAGAACCTGCAACAAGCTATCCAGAAGATCTAGCTAAAATCATTGATGAAGATGACTATACTAAACATCAGATTTCTAACGTACAGAAAACAGCCTTCTATCGGAAGATGATTCCTACAGAGGTGAAGTGAATGCCTGGCTTCAGAGCTTCCAAGAACAGGCTGACTCTTGTTAGGGACCGCCGCAGGTGGTCATTTAAGATTTACGATATAGCTGGGCATGGTGGTGTGTGCCTGTAATCCCAGCTACTCAGGAGGCTGAGGCAGGAGGATTGCCTGAACCCAGGAGGCGGAGGTGAGCCGAGATCGCGCCATTGCACTCCAGCCTGGGTAACATGAGTGAAACTCCGTCTCAA